ATAATAAATAGATTTTTATCAGTGCCCAGTTCGGTTCGGACAGCAGCTAGTCTTTGGGGTGTGCTGCTGGCACATCGTAAATGTAAATGCATTTTATTTACTTGTGGGGGGTTATGCATTCGTTTAATGGATGAGTTACGACTTGTTGATGTCAATGGGGCTAAATTAAGATCTAAAACAAGGTGGAGTAATAAAAATGGCACACGCTGTCCATTCATTTATCTAACAGATGGTTATCGCCTTGTGGACACAGCGGGGCAAGTAGCGTATAATAAATCATTATCTTATTTGCATAAGATGAATTTAAACGTGCCAATATGTGGGAAGTTTCATTAAGTTTAGCCAGGCAACCAGAGGTACACAATTGAAAAAAATCTATGAAGTTTGTTTGTAGGAATAATAAGAAGAAAGGATTTTGGAGAGATGAACCATAGGGTATCACATGTGTTATGAACGTTGTGAGGATACATGAACGGAACGAAAAAACACAACATTTTTGGGCATTCAAAATACCCCTAAAATTGGTCTAGACCCTTAATGGGGGATAGGACAAGACATGTATATACAACGGTTAGACAATGCTTCTAGGACCACCAAAATACCTAAAATGGGGTGGGACCTTTATATGGAGTAGCTCACATATTTCTAAGAATTTTCTGTGCAGAAAATTACCACTCCGATTGAAGAATGGAACTAAATCCTTATTTTTTTTTTTTTAATTTTACTCTCTACGAACCCGGAATGCCAAATTACAACCACTTCGATAGGAAAATGTTTCAAAATCCCAAAATGCATCATAATCTTTATATAGGGGCTATTTTAAAGTCATATAATGAAAGTTTCCTCCAAATATGCTTTTCACCCTCTAAGGACCACGACCTTTATTTTAACATATGTAAAGACCAATATTATAAACATGGACCTTTATTGACAATTTTCATTTTACATTTTTCAAACACCAACTCAGAATACAAATGTACAGCCCATCGGTAAAAAACGGGTAAAATCTACATAATACTATAATATTGGCCAATATATTATATCTTTAATAACCAATGGAATGAACAATAACCAGTAAGGAAACTCCAAAAGTCGGACGGGGCCGACTATATGATACCCTTCACCATTTTGGGTACACACAAGAGATGTCAATATCTACAATATCCTGTAGAAAGAACAGACATAGAATCTTTGGAGGAACATTAACATGGAATCGGGCAAAATTAAATGTGTTACCTAGATAGATATTTGAACCAATTGAAAAAGCCCCATACACATACCATTTTGAAATCAATAAAAATGTCATGTAAAACGGGCAGACTTGGATTCTTTTGTGTACCATTTGTATGAAATCGAGTAATATTATGTATGGGAGCTATATTTAAACACACGAACCTAATTGAGCAACCGTTGCATACACCATTTGTTTTTTGTTGTCACTCTATATTTAATTTAATACCCTCTTCCAAATTTCGCGTGAATCAAACAAATATAGGCCCTTCGGTGCACCATTTACATAAAATCGAACGAAAAAATATATATGAGACCTATATCAAAATCTGAACCGATTTCAACAAATTTATCACATATTATTTATCACATAGCGAATGCAATAAAGCATTCGCTTACCAAATTTTGCTCAATCGGACAAATATTAAGAGTTTGGTGCATCATTCACTATATCCAAATCTGAACCGATTTTAACACAACTTCGCAGACATAAGTATGGACCTGATTCAGTGCGTTGTGCACAATTTTGTCCCAATTGGATACATATTGGGAGTTTATTGATTTATTTACATAAAATCGGGCGAAACTATATAGGGGAGCTATATCTAAATCTGAATCGATTTTCTCCAATGTCAATAGGATTCGTCCCTGGGCCAAATAAGTGAACTGTGCCAAATTTCATCCAAATCGGAAAATAAATGCGACCTGTACTGTGTTTCACAGTGGGGTGAAGAGTATAAAAAATAAATGAGGTTTGATTTCTTAATTTTTTAAGATACAGTGAACATCTTTCAAAAGTGAAAAACAAGATACTTACGCAAAATTCGTCATAAAGTGGTCTGGGCCAAAAAATCGATTCTTTCACCCAAAGATTATATTGTAAATACTTAGGAAATTATATATATTAATCCTTATTGAGACCTTTAAATATCAATATACTTACATGTTCCAGAACGTGCAAGAATTCACTATTATCGAACAAATATGCAAGAATATGTATACGGGAACATACTACTTGATATGTTATTATACCCTACACAACTATGTTGTCAGGGTATTATAGCTTTGTGCAGCCCCAAATGTTTGTAACGCCGCGAAATATTGGTCCTAGACCCACCTTTAAGTATACCGATCGTCATATCTCGACTAGCTGAGTCGATCTAGACATGTGTGTCCGCCCGTCCGTCTGTCCATTATAATTTGTAAACACGATACAGGCCACAATTATGGACCAATCTTCACGAAATTTTGCATGTTGGATGGGTTCTGGCCAATGAAGACCCCTATTGTTTTTGGAAAAGATCGGTTAATATTTAGGGGATGAAATGGACCAAATACTAAATTTTTGTCGGTTTTTCTGGTCGCTCCAGAGGCCGCAATTATGGCCCAAACACCGAATTTTTGCATGGAGAAGGGGATCGGGCCAGAGAATAAGCATGCATGTTTTGATAAAGATCGCTCAATATTTAGCGGGTCAAATGGACCCTGACTTTTGTGTGAAAAATGACAAAATTTGTATTCTATGGCATATATATTTACTCCTGGAGGATGTAGACCCCAGGAGTTGATAGCATATCCAAGAGGAGTGGTTGGCCTTTAAATTGATACCAAATATAGTGATGTATCTACTCAGATGTGGGAGTTACAGTCAAATATTTACAGGTGCTTACGTATTCAGATATTATTTAGTAACCCATTACCACATTAGAGGGAGAAATATCGCGCTGATGGCTTTGAAATTGTTCATGAAGTTCCAGTTATGGTCAAGAACAACGCCTATAATTTTCGGTGATGATCAGATTAAAATTTTTGGATGAAATGGACGGAGAACATAATTTTTTGTGTGTTTTCGAGTAGAGTATAATCCGAAAATCATAACACAACCCACCGTGAAGGTAATCTGGACAAGTAATTAGAAGGACTGTACTGAATATTCGAAAAAAGTAAGGAAGAGGTGTTGTTAACCTCTAATCGGACAAGAGGGGGCAAATATCACGAAATATTACTCAGACTCGGAATAAACATCCTCAGAAAGTTAGAGTTCGTGGTAGTTGTGTAGGGTATCGTATGGTCGGCCCCGTCCGACTTTACTGCTCCGCTCACTGGTTTTTCTATATTTTTTAAATCGATGTTATAAATAAAATATTTGCTAATAAATAAATTTATTATTTGGTCTCTTCCAGAACCTGTAAGAATGTGTAGCTTTTTGCTACGGCAACAATTGTTCCTTTATGATATCGAAGAAAATAGTAAAAATTAGTAGATTATAGCAGTAGAGAAATTTATTTTATTCTCAGTAATACGAATTTTAAAATTACTATTTCTATACTGTGAACCACCCTAACAGCAGCAGCTGTTGTCGCACCTTTAAATATCGTTACCATATCGATAATATGGCAACACCATCATGGCACGTCATCGATAACACAGCAGCTGATAAGAATAACAAAAAATTACCATCTCCAAAAACACAGTTTAAAAAGGAACTAGTTCCTTAATGTAATTCATTTGGTCCATATAGCCGGTAAATTGTACAATAAAAAACATTGGTATTCCAAGGTAAATTTGGGTGACCATGATGGGTTTGGAGGGTTCCCTGTTGTGGCCTTTGTTTGCATTGGCATCATGTGTGAAATTAATGCTTGTTCCGGCATAGTAAGTATAACAAAATTCGGGTAAATTAACTATCTACTGACAATCATATTCTTACAGCCATTCCACGGACTTTGAGGTACATCGTAATTGGTTGGCCATAACCAACTCACTGCCTCTGAAACAATGGTATTATGAGGCGACCAGTGAATGGACCTTAGATTATCCACCATTCTTTGCCTACTTTGAATGGGTGCTATCAAAATTCGCTGCATTTGTAGACCCCAAAATGTTGGAAGTCAATAATCTTAATTATGCCTCAACGGAAACAAAATATTTCCAAAGAATATCTGTAATGGTTATGGACTTTATTTACATGTATGGAGTATGGCGTTGTTTAAGATCCCTTAAACTAATGGGCGTGAAAATGCATCAAGCCTCTGTGGAAGTGTTTTTACTGCTAAACATTGGTCTCATATATGTGGACCACATTCACTTCCAGTATAATGGATTTCTTTTTGGCATTCTACTGTTGAGTATAAGTTACTTACTCGAAGAACGTTATGTCAAGTGTGCATTCTTCTTCGCATGTTTGCTGAATTTTAAACACATTTTCATTTATATGGCACCGGCGTTTGGAATTTACCTGTTGCGTCATTATTGTTTAGATCCTAGTAAAAATCCATTATTTGCCTTTGTGAAATTGCTGGCAGCTGGACTGACACCATTTGTGGTCTCGTTTGGACCATTTTGGCAACATATACCGCAGGTGTTGAGTCGTCTATTTCCCTTTAAACGTGGTCTGACACATGCCTATTGGGCACCGAATTTTTGGGCTCTTTATAATACTGCGGATAAAGTTGCTGCTGTTGCGTTGAGGGCTCATTCAAAATCTGGTGCATCAACCACATCGGGTTTGGTCCAAGAATTTGAACATGTCGTATTGCCATCTGTTCGGCCGATGGTCACATTTGTCCTAACTCTTGTATCGATGATACCGATTTTGTTAAGTCTGTGCCGTTTTAAACATAAGAGGTAAGTTAATTTTTGGGAAAATTGTTTCAAGGACTAACAAGGCTATTAGCATATATTTTTGCCTTTGGAATATAAATGTGGATATTGTTAGAATATATTGGAGTAGAGTATCGCATTAAATTTATATTTATAAAAAAACTTGGGCTATAAGCTTGGATTTTGATACCCTTCACCACACTGTGATTTGTAACACTCTTGTCCGATTTAAGGAAAATGGGGTACCAAAATCCCTATATATCTTTCGATTTGCACGAAATTTGGTATAGCCTACTGAATTAGGTCTAGAATGATGTGTGTTAAGTTTCCTGAAAATCGCTTCAGATTTAGATTTAGCTTCCATATATAGTTTTGCCCGATTTTAGGTAAATGGTGCACTAAAGTCCCTGAAAATCATTTGATTTGCACGAAATTTGGTATAGCCTACTGAATTAGATCTCAAATGATGTGCGCTAAGTTTCGTGAAAATCGGTTCAGATTTAGATATAGCTCCCATATATAGTTTCGCCCGATTTTAGGTAAATGGTCTACCAAAGTCCCTATATATCTTTCGATTTGCACGAAAATTGGCATAGCGTACTGAATTAAATTTAGTATGATGTGTGGTAAGTTTCGGAAAAAAAATGGATCAGATTTCGATTTAGTTCCCTTATATTTTTTCGTCCGATTTTATGTAATTGGTGCACCAAAGTCCCTATATATCCTTCGATTTGCACGAAATTTGGCATAGCGTACTGAATTGAGCCTAGAATGATGTGTGATAAGTTTCGGAAAAAATGGATCAGATTTCGATTTAGTTCCCTTATATCTTTTCGTCTGATGTTATGTAATTGGTGCACCAAAGTCCCTATATATCCTTCGATTTGCACGAAATTTGGCATATCGTACTGAATTGAGCCTAGAATGATGTGTGGTAAGTTTCGGAAAAATTGGTTCAGATTTCGATATAGCTCTAGCATATACATATATATTCGTCCAATTTTACATAAATGACACACCAAACTCCTAATGTTTGTCCGATTAACACGAAATTTTGCACAACGTATCAAATTGAGACTTGAATGACGTTATTGCATTTTGTTGAAATTGGTGCAGATGCACCAACAGTGCTGCTTACCGAATAGCGTGTATCAATTTTGCTATAAATCTTTTTCCATAAATTTGTCTCATGGTATGCAGGCTACTCTAAATCTGCCCGAATGAAATTCAATTTATCATAGGTTGCAGAAAGACTTCGAGGGAACATTGACATGCAATTGTAAGGCTACATATGTTCAATATACCCAATGTGAATCAAATTTGTATCATGTAAAATTAAACTAAAAAATACTTCTTCACTGCAACTTCATAAAGAATGTAAAAGCGTTGTATCTATCCTGTCCTTGCAACTTTTCTTTTTTCCAACTACTTCTTACTAAGAACAAAAAACTACAAACATGTCATTATTATCAGTATTCCCACTAATACCTACCTTAATTAAATTCCTTCCTACTGTTCAATGTTCTTGTCGTCTTCATTTTTTGTTTTCTTTCTTCTTTTTTTTGCAGAGATAGTAAAATTGCATTTATACGCGCCGTGGTAATTTGTTCGGCTTGTTCCTTTATGTTCGGTTGGCATGTTCATGAGAAAGCCATACTGATGTGTTTGATACCACTTTGGTAGGTAAAATGACATTTTTAATTAACTTTCAATCATTAATGGTGTTTTTATGTCTTCTTGCAGTTTCTTGTTCTGTGTCAGTGCCACGGATGCGAAATATGCCTTTATGCTAAGTGCAGTGGGTTATTTCTCTCTATTCCCACTACTGTTCCAGGTGGATTTATTCATCATACGCTATTCGTTGTATTTGGCGTATATGGCATTCATGTATTTGGCCTATGTACGTTTCTATCAGACATCACCCGGTATGAACCTGCTGGAAGACCTTTACATTTATGGTTTGGTATTGATACCAATCTATGAACATATTATTGGACCCATGACAGGACTAAATGACAAGTTGCCATTTGTACCACTACTATTGTATTCATCATATTGTGGTGTGGGTGTCCTATATTGTTTTATACGTTACTATATTTATGCATTAGAACCTAAGCTTGATACGACAATTATTAAGACTAATAAGCAAACACAACAAAAACAACAAACTAAATTAAAATCAAAACATGTAACAACTACTTCGGCTTCCAAGTCGAATGGTGGTGGCAATCAAGATAGAATCAAGACCACTGTAAAGTTGCCGGCAGAGAAGTCGAAGGAGAAACTGAAATAAAGTTAACTGCTGTATTGTTAGTACGAAATGGTTTTCTTGTTGTTCTTGCTGTACAGCCGAGCCATGCTGCGGATGCCCGTCGAGGATAGCCACGCTGTGGTCGTACTCGTTGATTATCATACAGCCAATAGAGATTATCCTTGAAAAAGTAAGTTTTTCCTGAAAAGTAATTTATAAAATGAGTAGTTTGCAGTTATTGTGTGGTAGTGTTTGAACATGAACATCGATTATCTTGTTGTTGTTGTTGTAGCAGCCATATTGCTTTTACACAACGGTAAATTATCTTGATTGTTTTGGTTGGATATTCGAGTTTCGTTAATATTTTAGTGATTTACCATTGGGTATTGTTGTGGCGGCATCAATATTTTCTGGTATTCCTGGCCATCGTTGCATTGACTTTGGGTAGCCCTCATCAAGTTGTTGTAAATAATCATTGTAACGCCAAAATATGGATCCAGAAAATATATATGTGCGATTATTTTTAGCTGGAAAATAATCAATTGATTAATTTTGGTAACTGATTTTAAATACTAGTTGATCAATAAATTTAAGGACTGGTCGAACTATAAGCTTGGATTTGTTAAACATATTTTTGCAAGACTAGTCGTTGTATCTACCTGCATTTTTTTAAATTATTTTTTAAAGGTCTAGTCGAGCTATAAGAGTGAACTTGTTATTAATATATTTTTTCGAGGACTAGTTGATATACTGAAAAATATTTGTTCAATGACCTAAGCGAGGTTTGTATTTTTTAATTTTTAAAAATATATTTTTAAAAGCAATTTAAATTAGGATTTTTGTTTAAACAGTTTTTCAAGCGCTAGATCAGGGTTGAGCAGAGATTTTTTTAAATAAATTTGCAATGGCTAAATAATCGTGGATTTTTTAATAGTTTTTCAAGGGATGGATGAGCGTAGATTTTTATACGCTTCACCACATGTGGTACAAGGTATTACGTCTTTGGGCATATGTTTGTAACAGGCAAAGGGAATCGAGGAAGACCCATGGTTCCTTTTGAGAATATGCATAGAATCACTTTCGATTTATGCATGTCCGTCCGTCTGTCGCTCTGTCCATGTCAAATTGTAAAAAAAGTACAGGCCACATTTTTGATTCAAATTGGATGATTTATTTGTTTGACAAAAGGATGAACCCTATTGAAATTGAAAAAAATCAGTTCAGATTTAGATATACCTCCCATATATATTTTCGTCCGATTTTATGTAAATGGTACGCCAAAGTCCCTATATATCCTTCCATTTGACGAAATTTGGCATAGCGTACCGAATTAAGGTTACCCCCCCCCCATTCTCGGGGTCAAATTTTTTTTGATTTAATACGATTCTACACTAATTCAAGAATGTCTCTACAAAATTTTGAGTGAAAATCTCAAGAACTCTTGAAGACATAGCCGATTTATTGTGTCAGCATCAAGTGACGGCTAAAGGGCTTCTCAAACTTTAAACGCGTTTTTCTCTTTTGCAAATGGCGGGCACGATAACTCAAAAACTAATAACCCAAATTTGTACACGTTTCTCTGTGAGTGTATAGCTATTGTATGAACTAGGATAAAGCCAATCGGTGAAGATCTTCCTTATTTTTTAAATTGGTTTTTGGTCAAAATTCGGCGATTTTCCAAAAATATTTTTTCAAAGGTCCGCCATTTTTTTAATCCTAGTTCATACGAGAGCCAGACATGTACTCTTTCTAACACCGTTGGAATTTTCGGATTCCGATGTTCCAGTGAGGAGTTATCATGCCCGCCATCAAAAATGAGGACTTTTCTTTAATTACAAAAAACAACAACAAAGCCAAAAACAAAAATTTTTTGTAAATTATTTTTCTTCTCTTTTAAATCTTCAAATATATATGTGCAAAGTTACAAACCTTAACAAGCATTGGTATTGATTTACCCGCCCATTGAAAATCTTGAAAAATTAAAATCGAAAAATTAATGTCGTGAAAATCGGTTCAGATTTAGATATAGCTCCCTTATATATTATCGTCCGATTTTAGGTAAATTGTGCATTAAGACCCAAAGTGTGGACGATTGGCACACACTTTTGTACAATGAACATAAGTTAGTATAACCATACGTGTGTCAAGTTTTCTTGAAATCGATTCAGATTTACATATGGCTCCTATATATATATATTTGTCCCATTTTAAGAAAATGGTGCACTAAAGACCCCATAAATATAAATTAATCCCGGGCATCGGTTCAGATTTAGATATAGCATAGCTTCCATATATAATTTCGACCTATTCATGTTAACAAAATTTAACATAGGTTGCAGAATGGCATGTGTAGGGATTGATGTTAGTCGGTTTACATATAAATAAAGATCACATTTTTAAGTTTGCTCAATTTCTTGTCAATGTTCCTTCTAAAAGGCGACGTCTGTTAGGATACATATGTACACAAAGTGGTGAAGGGTATCATATAGTCGGCTCAGTCAGACTTTACTACTTTTCTTACTGGTTTTAAATTTTTTAATGGCTAGTTAATAATAATTGTATTTAAAAAAAAACACAAAGTGTGTGGATTATAAATTTAATATTTGTTTCATAACTTACGCCACAATATTGCTGCATCCACATGATCAATGTTCACATTAAAGCCAAACAGACTGCTTAAAGACACAGGGCTAGTGTCTAATATTCGATCATTTTGATAATACCAGATTTGGTTACCTAACGAAAAACAGTATTATAAAAATATAAAAAAGTAGATTACATTGAAATCGTTTTCCAAAAATACCCGAAAAGAATAGCACTGTCTTATCGTAACGTTCATAACAGGCATCAATCTTCTTCACCTCCTCCGGCAAATCTATAATAACTTCCTGCAAACGTTTTGGGTAACCATCGAGAACACGATATTGGGCCGAAAGTTTCCAAACATATTGACCCTTGAAAATATGAACATGATCTCGAAAATAACACACGGCATTAAAATTGCCATCGCATATTGGTGGTATGGTGGATGTATAGAAGGATCTGTCTCTAGAATTTATGTCAGTGCTAGGATTTGATGTTGTACTGGGGAATGATGGAGAAAATGCATTCGTAGTGTCTGCCGTAGTACTGGGCCAATTAGTGATACTCTAAAAAGACGGATACATATTAGACATAACTCTTCATTTTTTATTAGACCAAATACATACCTCTTCCTCAGAAAATTGCCTGTTTGTTGTGTTTGGCATATAATCATTGTTAACGGTGGTATATTCAGTTGTCTCATATGAAATTGTGGTAGTTTCCACGTATTCTTCCTCCTCGTCTGCTTCTTCCATTTCTTCTTCATCATTAACAACTTCAACATCATCGTCTAATTTTTTGTTCACTTTAAAACAAATAATTGTATTATTGAAATTAATTAAAAATTTAAATTTAAAATTGTGTATGGTACTTACAGTAGGCCTCATACATAGCCAAGGTATCATCATAATTTAAAACATTATAATCCGGTCCTTTGTAGTACGGAAACATTATCGAACTATATGTGGGTGAGTGGGCCAAACCTAAACTATGTCCCAATTCGTGTAAGGCCACTGTATAAAAATCAACACCTTGGCTCAGCTCTGGAGAGTTTTCTCTCCAATTTTCATCTTCATCGAAGTGAACATCACCGCCCCATGAACCCATTTCGTAGGGATAGAAGGCATGAGCCAGAATATTACCAACACCATCAAAGGGGAAGCTGATTACAAACAAAATTAATTGTTTCTTTTTTTTATTTTATTGAATACTTACTTGTCACCATGATAGAGAGAACCAAATCCAATAATAATATCCGCTGAGGTATCATTTACCCGCTCAAATTTCAGATTGCTGTACTGAGACCAAACTTCAAATGCTCGAGCGATATCACGTTCTACTTGTCGGGCAGGTATTTTCAGTGATCGATTGCCAATTCTATAAAATTAAAATATGAGGTTAAAATGAAGCATTACGGAAATTTAGTATTCATATCATAGGATACACCGAATTTTCTTAATTGATAATACTAGTAGAGTAGTGACCAAAATATGTATTTAACATTTTATAGACTGAAACTAACATTTTAAACAACTATCTAATATAGCAGTACTATTTTTAAGAATTATCGCAAGGGGCGATTGCTAACGAAGATCACGAAGAAATTACAACACTGTAAAACGGCGGAAATCTGTAGGTATGGATTCCAAATGAAATTAAGACGTGAATAAACTTAATCATATCATTTCGAGACCAGATTCCTATGGCGCGAAAAGTTCATCAACAAGGATTCCGAATCTAATATAAGAAGTCATTAATGACAAATGTGTGTCATTATTTAAAGGCTCGAGCATGGGTGACCAACATTTAGTTCGATAGCGACACGTTAATAATAATATCTTTTGGAGTTTCCAAGCACTATTTGTGGCGATTTTTATTTTCGACCCAAACAAAGGGGAGGAATTAGGCTTCATCTATTCTTATAGGACGGCTGAATGGAATCTCCGGCTTAACATTGTGATAGATGGGGAACAGATTCCAACCGCCAATTACACCAAGACATTGACGGTAATATTCGACAGCATATTCAATCGCCTGTGAAAGTCATTATTTGCGTAGTCGCTGCAGCTCGATCCGTCTGACTATGTCGATGTCCGAGAATAGATGGTATAGCCCATGTTCCATTCGACGACGATGTTCACCATCGACGTAGATCGGCCCATAGATCTTCCAGAGAAATTTTTCTCTCAAACACTCCAAAAGCTGCCTCATGTGCTTGCGCAAGTACCCATGCTTCAGATCCCCACAACATATAAGCGTCCTGTAGAGTGTTAGTTTGTTCTGGCGAGAGGTGGCCTTGCTTTTGATTTGCTTACTCAGACCATAGTAGCATCTGTTGGCCAACACTATTCTCCCCCGGATTTGAAAACTGATATTATTAGTTTTGTTTATGGCGGTACCGAGGTATACAGAATCGTTCACCCCCTCGATGCTGTAGTTTTCAAGTTCCACAGTTGGTCCGAGTCTACTGGACTTCTTGCGCGTTGATACCATCAGCTTGGTCTTTTCGCCATTTGCTGCCAGTCCCACTTTGGCAGACTCCTTCTCAATTCGTTCAAAGGAGCTGTTACCGCCCACAATATTCGACCCATTATGTCGATATCGTTGAACAGGTTCTTGAAGGGCTCCGAGAGGTTCTTTTCTACTTTAACCGCTGATATTGTACCAGTTAAAGTTATCCTGCATAGCCGTATTAATTTTGCAGGAATTCCAAAAGCAGATATGGCTTCAAACTCCTCTGTATGGATAGAGCTGTCGAATGCGGGTTTATAGTCGGCGAATAGGTGGAATGTGTCTATGTGTTTTTCGTCGTGTTTTTCCAGGATCTGGCGCAGAGTTAAAATCTGGTCAATGATGGATTTTTCAAGGCCTGAAGCCGCATTGGTAAGGTCCAATAATGCCACTGACCATTGGCTTCAGTCGTTCACACAGCACGCTGGATAGCACTTTATGGGGAGGATGGGAAGGAGACATATTCCTCTATAGTTGGCACATATCGTATTGTGTCCTTTTTTGTGCACGGGACACAGGATGCTGAGGTTCCAATCATTGGGCATGCATTCCTCTAGCCAAATTGTACAAATCAGCTGGTACATGCTCCTGACCAGCATCTGACCACCGGTCTTGAATAGTTCGGCTGGTAGTCCATCGACAGCTGCTGCTATATTGCTTGGCTAGGTGGTATACACTATATACCGTCATCTCTTATAGGTTCTGGCGTATCTTCTTAACCGCAGCTATTTGTACCAGTAGCTTTTCAAAATGCTACTTCCAGATCCTCAGCACGCTATCTGTATCTGTCACCAGGTATCCTTTTTCATCTCTATGGGAGGATGTGCCTGCACCAAAACCTTAGGTTTGGTGTTTTACTCGTTGATCTTGATTTGCTCACGCTCACGTTTTTCTTGTTCTTTCTTCTATTTTCTGAAAATACGTTTCTTCTCTCTTCGTTTCTCCCGACAATTTTCCTTCGCATTGCGTGCTGGTACTGTCTGCATTGTTGCGCTGCGTTTTTCACCTCATGTTGTAGGGAGTGGACAGTTATTTGCACTGTTGCTTCTATATTACTATCGGGACAAGGAGTGATTTCGTCAAGCAAGTGGATAAGTTGAGCGGAGTACACTTCTGCTCTCTGTTGTGTTACCAGCTTTTCGACGTCTAGTTTCCGCGTTACATTAGATCGCACCTTTGCTGCTACATTAAGATGGGTGCGAACCTTGTCTGCCACCAGGTAATGGTCCGAATCGATATTCGCTCTCCGTATCGAACGTCTAAAACACTGGACGCATGCCTTCCGCCTATCACAACATGATCATATCGAGATACTTGAATCTGGTGCTGCTAACTACATGCTTTTTGCTGTAGTTCGTGAAGTCTGAATTTTCCGACGGTGGGACCAAAATTTTTTTCAGGGCAGCGGTCATATGCATTTTCTAGGCGCTCGTAAAAATGTCTTTGATCTGTTCATCTTTGTCTTCCGTCGGAGCATGGGTGCTTTTTCATAGTAGGAGGGGTTTTCAAAGTGTGGGCAATTAACGCAATTTTTTATAGCTCTTGTGGGTGAACTCGCGACACATATCAGCTCACTATTTCAACGGATGATGAAAGTAGCTACCCCGGGTGACACAGCGGGGAGGTCAGTGTCCGTAATTGAGATGAAAGAGGGAGCTATATAAGCCTGGGCTTCGCCATGTTAAAGCCAATCAGAACCGTTGCTTGGTATCTATCATCCCCTACGCCACCGGATGCGCCCCTATATTTCTTTTGATTTGCACGAAATTTGGCATAACATACTGAATTAAGTCTAGAATCTCGTTCGGTCATAGGAGTCTCGGCATATTGCCTGTTCCATTAGGGGGTCTCTTGAGCTACACAATGTAAAGAGTATAGATTATAGCTTACAAGATTTCGAATTTTATATTTTTAATTTCCCTTTTAATTTAGCCTCCGATTAAATCTGTTGATCAAATCTGTAGACATTAAACGGAATTTACTTACAAATATTTAATATGGCGTTTGGTCCATGTTTTTGCTCCGAAAATAAAACGTTTCTTGCGTTGTTTAATATTGCTAGGAGTTATCATATCCCGCTGTTGCAGATAATACGGTTTGCCCTCAATATCGGGAACACCACAGCGCGGCTTTGTAAAAAGCTGAATAGAAGAAATAAATAAAAACAAATCTTAAAATTTCAAAATGCAACAATAATAACAAAATGTAAACAACAATTTTAAATAAATAAAAAAGTACAACAAAATTCAAGTTCATTGAATTGAAAACAAAAAATGAAATGAATACAGACTCCAAGATTATCTTTGGCACAATTCCAATGATGATTATCTCTTGTTGTACAAATACACACAGACACCAAAGAATAAGCCGGCTAGGCGTATTTCGTATATGAAGCTTATCTTTAAAAAATCTACGCCTTAGGGCCTTGCAGATTGTTTCAAAAAATCTTTAAAAAATCTACGCCTTAGGGCCTTGCAGATTGTTTCAAAAAATCTTTAAAAAATCTACGCCTTAGGGCCTTGCAGATTGTTTCAAAAAATCTTTAAAAAATCTACGCCTTAGGGCCTTGCAGATTGTTTCAAAAAATCTTTAAAAAATCTACGCCTTGCCTTGCAGATTGTTTCAAAAAATCTTTAAAAAATCTACGCCTTAGGGCCTTGCAGATTGTTTCAAAAAATCTTTAAAAAATCTACGCCTTAGGGCCTTGCAGATTGTTTCAAAAAATCTTTAAAAAATCTACGCCTTAGGGCCTTGCAGATTGTTTCAAAAAATCTTTAAAAAATCTACGCCTTAGGGCCTTGCAGATTGTTTCAAAAAATCTTTAAAAAATCTACGCCTTAGGGCCTTGCAGATTGTTTCAAAAAATCTTTAAAAAATCTACGCCTTAGGGCCTTGCAGATTGTTTCAAAAAATCTTTAAAAAATCTACGCCTTAGGGCCTTGCAGATTGTTTCAAAAAATCTTTAAAAAATCTACGCCTTAGGGCCTTGCAGATTGTTTCAAAAAATCTTTAAAAAATCTACGCCTTAGGGCCTTGCAGATTGTTTCAAAAAATCTTTAAAAAATCTACGCCTTAGGGCCTTGCAGATTGTTTCAAAAAATCTTTAAAAAATCTACGCCTTAGGGCCTTGCAGATTGTTTCAAAAAATCTTTAAAAAATCTACGCCTTAGGGCCTTGCAGATTGTTTCAAAAAATCTTTAAAAAATCTACGCCTACGCCTTAGGGCCTTGCAGATTGTTTCAAAAAATCTTTAAAAAATCTACGCCTTAGGGCCTTGCAGATTGTTTCAAAAAATCTTTAAAAAATCTACGCCTTAGGGCCTTGCAGATTGTTTCAAAAAATCTTTAATAAATCTACGCCTTAGGGCCTTGCAGATTGTTTCAAAAAATCTTTAAAAAATCTACGCCTTAGGGCCTTGCAGATTGTTTCAAAAAATCTTTAAAAAATCTACGCCTTAGGGCCTTGCAGATTGTTTCAAAAAATCTTTAAAAAATCTAAATCTTTAAAAAATCTACGCCTTAGGGCCTTGCAGATTGTTTTGCAAAAAAAATCTTTAAAAAATCTACGCCTTAGGGCCTTGCAGATTGTTTCAAAAA